AATAGAGTCAAGGAATAATCCTAAGGGCTTGAGGAAAACATTTGGACTGAGGTGTGTGGTGCCTCACGAAGGATGGGGAGGATCTTGAGATCCAAGCATGAGAGCAGTATGTATCTCATTGATGGCAGAAGATGCTATGCTAAAGTTGTGGGAAAGAGTTTCCCGGAAGAAAACAACTTTGACACAAAGTTGTGCATAAACTCTATGGTGCAGTGCTAATGGATAATTGGCCTAAGAGACAACTATATTAGTCTTGGCAAAAATACCTGGACACAAGTAAGAAGTGTCATAAAGGTAGGCTCGTGGAGCCAATGGTGTGGAGACACCGAAGGTGCCAAAGTGTACTGCCTTGAGGTCAAGTTGGTGGGCTTATGAGAACCCCTTCCAAAGGAATCCCAATGGAAATGGGAATAGCATAGCCTAAGCTGGAAGGCATGCGGTTAGAGTGTGGTGACCCAGATAATGATGGAGGTGTGGAAGCACCAACAATGAGTTGTAGGACTTGACAACTATGAAGAAACTACCTAAGACTTCTTATTGGGATAAGGAAGTTCAATATACCCTTATGAGGGATAAATTGCTTATGTTGCGACATAGTAAGTCAATGTCGAAAAGGGAATGTTCATTGTCAGAGAGGCCATCATTGGGACACCCAAACACTCTAGAACACCAGAAGGGGGTATTTGGTGTCATGAGGGCAATGGATAATGCCCAAGGGACAAAGTCCCTAGCGAATGAAGGATAGGAGGTGCTATCCAAATGTCCAAAGTTGTGGAGATAGGAGAAGTTCGTCTACCCAAATTGGACAAAGCCAAAAAGGGATTTTGGCAAGGTTAGTAATGGGCATATAAAGGCCCATAAGTAGCAACAGTGATTCTAGTGTGTGGGATTATAAGGTGAGCAAACTCGGATTGAGGAACCACTCCCTAGGCTGTCGGGTAAGTTCATCCCTATGAATACTTGCCAAGGCATGGTAAAAAGTGCAAAGCTATCTTCCTAGTCTGGAAGAGAATAACCGAAGGAAATGTATGAGGCCAAAATGCAAGTAGTATAAGGATAGAACCGAACCATAGGAATTGATAGGCATGACCAAGGGTGGTTATGCAAGTTGGGAGTAGAAAATCAAGTGGGTGCTCAAGCATGTTGTTACTAGCAATCGGGATGCCATGGAGAGTCTAAGGCATGGGATTGTCCATGTTAGACTATATGGTAATTGGAAAGCTTGCGAAATGAGAGGCCTTAGCAAGCCAAGGAATAGAGTTCCTTGAACGTTCCCCTAGGTAGATAAGTACCTAGTCAGCCAAGTGTAAATGGTTCATAGGATGCGCAAAATCAAAGTGGCACAGCAGAAACGTGGTCTTGAAGCTTACCATGAGGCGAGGCTATCAAGATTGGGGAAGTAGTTCCCGAGTGTTCAAAGAAAGGGGTTTGAACGAAAGTTGATGGTTAAAGACTTTCACGTTTATGCATGAACCATGTCACAGTGGCCGAATGACTTGCTAAGTGAGATTGGCAAGTCGGGGGGAACGAATACCCTAGTTGAAGGAGCCAACTTCAAAGGGGTGGCCCAAGGGGCTGAGCATGGAGGGGTTCATGCATGATCACAAAACATGTCAAGTGAGAGGACTTGGCAATGCGGAGGAACTAGGTTCCTAAACTATGATCTGTAGCGCGCTTTAAATATAAGTTGGTGCACCGGCGTGGGGAGTCACGCCAGGCATCTAGGGTGATGCCATCTGTAGATGCATATACGGAGGTTGGGTTTGAGTCCCAACCCTTTAGTGCTTAGGTTCGAGTCATAAATCACTAGGGCGTGGTGATGGTTTGGAATATAAGGACACTCATATTTCGGTGGTCATGGACTCTCAGTGAGGAGACTGGTTTGGGCACACCGCCAAGTGAGGGATGCCTCGGTGTCGTGATGCACGGTTAGATTGCTTAGAGTGAAAGCTCGGCATATCTAACTTGAACACTTTGGTGCAAAAGGCACCAAGGACGTGGTGAATAAGATGGGGACACCCAGTCTCAGTTGTTATGGATCCTTGGCCGGAAGGGCTGGCTTGGGCGCACTGCCAAGTATGGGGGTCATAGTCAACAGTTTAAAAGGGGGTCTGGAAGACCTAATTCCTATTGGTAGACCTATTAAGGGGTCAAGATGAGATCATCAGGTGATCTTGTGGCTAAACAAAGACAAGGTCTTTGTTTGGGTTAAAGAATATAATTCCCAGTTCAAAGTGTTGATTTGAACTATTGATAATGGTGTGACTTGGTCAAGGTGACCAAGTGAGAAGGACACCTAAAGAGAAATCAATTGTGCCAATACAATGGTATAGTAAGTCCAAGAAAGTAGTCTCGGGGAGAGACCCATGGAAGGGTCGCAAAGTTGGGCCGTGGACGAAGCTCGAAGCAGAAATTGCTAAAGAGACCTACTAAGGGTGAGCACCTGCTGGACTTAGCAAAGTAGAGCCTTTGCCATGGAACCAAAAGGACACCTCAAGAATGGAGATAGTGATCCTATGATGCTCAATGCAACAATCAATGGATAAAAACAAAAGATTAGTGGCCAAGTGTGGGCCATGGAGTTCATTGGAAGGAATCCAAATGGCAAAGTTAGGCATGGAACACTAGTGTGTTGGATGCTAACGGATTGTGAGAAAGGAAGTGTGCTTCCAAGGATGGATTCCCAAATGCTCCAAGTTAGCAAAGGTGAAAGCTCCAAGGGAGGGAGCGGCCAAGTAGCCAAAAGATAGGGCTGTGGATAGCTCTAGCACAACTTACAACGGCTGGAATTTGGTGCCAAAAGTGGCATAAAATAGAAAGGAGGACGATGACGCCCTCAAGTGAGGAGCTTCCTAGGATGGGAAGTGAAGTTGCACAATATATGTAGTGAAAGGTGTCAAAGACACCAAAGAAATTGATTTCGAGAAGTCAAAATTAAAAAGTTCCAAGGTGAATTGGTTATGTCAATAGAAGTTGGGACTACTCAAGAATGAGTAGTGGAATTGAGTTAGAGAAGGTGTCTCTAACGGGTTTAGCGAGAACTGAACCAATAAAAGGGAGCAAACCACCTCAGGTGGCCGAATGAGTCTCTATGTTGGAGAGACTATGCCCCTTAGAGGATGGACAAGGCATGGTGAGCCTTCGGGGTCAAACTATAGACAAATATTGGCTGGGTGCCAAGGATGGAAATGGTAATACCTGCAGTATTACTTTATAAAAGGGTTTACTGTTCAATGAGGACATCAAACTTCGTCTATGGGTGGTGGAGTTGTGAGACACAAATCCCTAAGCCCCAAAGTGGAGCCGAAAGGGTGCCACGTGGTAGTGGCTGAAGCAAAAGCCAAACGAGCGTAACACGTTTGGACTAAAAGGCTCCGATTTGAAAGGTTGAGAGCAGAGTGGAACTTCCAATGGAGTGCTCAAGGAACAAGCATGAAGCGAGCAATAAGCGAGGCTCCAAAAAGGGACCCAAAAGAACCAACACATGACACGTGGAAGTGTCCGAGATGGAGTCTGAGATGGAGTCCGGGATGGACCGAGATGGAGTCCGAGATGGACCCGAGATGGAGTCCGAGATAGACCCGAGATGGAGTCTGAGATGGACTGAAACGGAGTCCGAGATGGAGTCCGGGATGGACCGAAATGGAGTCCGAGATGGACCGAGACGGAGTCCGAGATGGACCCAAGATGGAGTCCGAGATGGACCCGAAATGGAGTCCGAGATGGACCCAAGATGGAGTCCGAGGTCGAGACCGAGACCAGGACCGAGATCGGGACCGAGACCGAGACCGAGACCAAGATCGGGACCGAGATCAAGACCAAGTCCAAGTCCGAGTCCGAGTTCGAGTCCGAGTCCGAGTTCGAGTCTGAGAGGGTGAAAGCCCAAAGCGTTCGTCTCCCAGACCCTGGGGGGTTTGGTGAGCTCCAAAAGTATAGTGAGGGGGAGGATTGCAGTGGAGCCAGTTTGGCCAGGAAAGGCCAGTTTGGCCCAGGAAGGCTGTACCCAGTGTTGGGTGATGAGTTGCCCACTGGGAAGTCCAAGACTAGAGTGAACACGGACCGACAAGCGGGGTAGTTTGGTGAATTGTTCAAGAGCCGGCTCTAGTTCCCCCGGGAGATCGACTGGCCAATGCTCCCAGTCCAAGTGTGGGTGGCACTACCTACTTGGATACCTGGCGTGGCTCAACGGAACCTCGCTCTAAGCCCATGGCTAGAGCACCCAAAGGTGGAAGGCGAGGAGAGTACCCACGAGGCTTGCGTATGGCCACGGTGTTCCAAAATGTTGTCCCAAAGGCCCAGACTGTGGAAAGGAAGAGGAGTAGTCCTCTGGTGTAGTGACCAAGGATACAGTTGTGCAATGAGGAAGTCCCAGAGGACTGTGGGACTTAATGGCTGGGCCTACGGGCCTTGATCTAGTGGCAGTATTGGTGAACATGGCCATGGGCGGAAAAGGGACTTGGCAGGAACTGACAAAGGGATGTTGGGGAAAGCTATTCCCCATGTCTATGGGCATCCTAAGGATGCTAAGGAGTGGATCTAGGATGACCACTCGTGGATAGACAGCCTAGTCTTAGAGAGACGGGATTGTGATGCAAGTGGTATTGGACCATCAGTGTGGCAAAGGTGAATAGGTATGGCCTTAGCGTAATGGGCCAATATGTCAGTGGTACCTTTGGGTGTCGGTCTTGGGACTGGACACGTGGAGCACTTGGACCAAGTGCAAGGGAGGAGTGGCATGGATGCCATTCTCGGGACTACTAAGTCCCAAGTCCTGAATTGGACTTAAGGAGGTTGTGAATAAGACTCTTCTAAAGGGTCAGAGGTGTGGTTAAGTGACAAAAGTAGAATGGAAAATTTACTCACTTCCAGATAGTTAGATTTCAGTAGGGCATGACAGTAGGCATCGATCGTAGCAAGTGCAAGACCCCTGCACACGGCACAAGAAGTTCACCATAGGATCAGGCCCCTCCTCAAGTGTGACGATGTTTTCCTTTTGAATCATGTATGGGAAATGTGGGAGCGTGGATCTCGTGCGTCAGATCTTCGATGCGAGCGTCGTGAAAGATTCTTTCACCTGGAATCTCATGCTCACTGCCTACTGCAGCAACGGGCACATCCACAAGGCCAAGAACGTCTACGATTCGATGCCCAGGTGGAACATTGTCTCCTGCAATTGTATGCCCACGGCATATGCCCAAAACAGGCATATTCAGGAGGCCACGAGGTTCTTTTTCGTTTTAATGCAAGGCCGGGATATTGTTTCCTGGAATGCTATCTTTTCTGCATATGCGCACAATGGGTATCTGGAAGATGCCAAACAAATTTTTGAATTCATGCCAAAGTGGAACCTCTTGTCATGGACTGCCATGGTTGCAGTATATCCACAGCTAGGATTCTTTAATCACGCAAGGCGAATACTGGAAACTATGCCAGAACAAGATCTCATTTCGTTGACGGCCATGATTTCTGCTTATGCCCAAAACGGACACGTGGCAGAAGCGAAGCGGCTGTTTTACGAGGACATTCCGCAGCATAATCTTGTATCGTGGAATGCCATGGTCGCGACGTGTAGCTGGAATGTCCGGGAGGCGAAAGAGGTATTTGATTCCGCCCCGGAAAGGGACACGGTGACGTGGAATGCTATGCTTTTGGCCTATGCCCATTGCGGGCATCTTCAGGACACGGTGGACGTTTTTTGCCATGCCACAGTGAAACGTGGTTTCGTGGAACGCCATGTTGGATTCTTACGTGGAAAACCACGAGTGGATGGAAGCAAAAGCTTTGTTTGAGAAAATGCCCAAGTGGAACATTGTATCATGGACGTCTATGCTATCGATATGTGCCGCAAATGGGCATATTGACGATGCTAAGGCAGTCTTTGACACAATGCCAGAAAGAAACATTATCTCTTGGAACACCATGCTAGGTGCATTTGTGCAGAAACAATGCTTAGAATATGCCAAGAGCTTCTTTGACTCAATGCCAGAGCATGATACTGTATCTTGGAACATTATTGTAGCCGCATATGCTGAAAAAGGGCATCTTGAACAGAAGCTAGCAATGGATATGCCACAGAGAACCTTGGCATCCTCAAACGCGTTGCTGTGTGGATATTCCCAAATCGGGCATATGGAGGAGGCTTGGCAAGCCTTCCATACCGTGCTCGAGCGTGATGTAGTGACGTGGACAGCCATGCTGGCGGCATATGCTCAGAATGGGAACCTCGGGCTGAGCAGGAGGATCTTTGACGCGATGCCCGCCAGGAATGTGGTGACGTGGAGCGCCCTGATTGCTGGCTACGCCCAGAACGGGCAGCCCAGGACCACGCTGGAGCTCTTTCACGTGTCTGTGCTTTTCATCTCGATCATGCTGTCGTCCAGCCATGCTGGCAAGCTTGACGCTTGCCGGGCATCCCTCGTGGCCATGACACTGGACTATGACATGAGGCCGGAAAGCCAGCACTACTCGTGCATGGTGGATGTGTTAAGCAGGGCGGGCCATTTGGAAGATGCCAAGGACTTGATTGTGAATATGCCCTATTTGCCCCATGCAGCATATTGGAGGAGCCTCCTAGGCGCTTGCAGCAGGAGTGGCGATGGGAATGGTGCTGCCGCTGCCAAGAGCGTGCTCGATCTGGAATGTAGGGATGGAGCAGGATACATGCTTCTGGCCAATGCCTACAGTGTTATGATCCGGCGCAAAAAGACAAAGATCTCGTTGCCCTAGACTATGCTACGCCACCTCTTGAGGTTCCTCACCACCCAACCACCCCTGAGCTACCTCAAAAGCTCCACTGCGCCGCCACTCCACCGTGAGCCCTAGGGTAGGTTAAGTCCCTTACCCTAACATGCCTTAATATACCCTTGAGCCTCCCTTTGACCGACGTTGACCACGTAGTCAAAGCTAGCGCCTAACAATTCTTCCCCCCCAACAAAGTCCTTGTCCCAAGGACGAGTTGTACCAGTGATCACCCTTTCTGGGGAATCCTGCTCAAGCTCCTGGTCCATCTTCCACAGCCGTATACATCAAGGAGGCATTGGGCCCGTCACTCCGAGATAGTACACCTTTCAACTGGCTGACATAAAATACCGGATGAATTTTCACCCCAGCTGGCAGCCGCACCCGATAAGCCGCTTTACCAATGCGCTCCAACACTTCATATGGACCAGCATATCGATGGGAGAGTTTATCACTCTTCCCTATCCGTAAAGGCACCAAGGTGTTCCGCCGCTCACTTGACGGAAAGATCACTCGCACAAAGACGAGATCACCCACCTTATATTCCCGGAATTGGCGATGCTCATTAGCAAACTTCTCCGCTCTATCTTGAGCTGCTTGCAAATTCTGTTTGCACACCACCAGAATCTCATCAAGTTCTGTGGCCAGATCAGTTGCCTCGGAATCAAGCTTTTCTTGAACGTCCTTACTCAAATGCAATCCCAACTCCACCGCTGTTCGAGGATGCCTTCCAAACATCGCAAAGTAAGGACTTAGCTTGGTTCCACTGTGTTGGCTATTGTTGTAAGCAAATTGCACCAACGGAAGATATAGATCCCATTGTCCTTGCCTTTGACCAATGCTACAACATAGCATATCCTCCACCACTTGATTCACACGCTCAGTTTGCCCATCCGTCTGAGGATGATCTCCACTCGAGAGTTTCAAAGTCACTTGCATAACCTTTGCAAAGCTTTTCCAAAATCCACTGGTGAACTTTGAATCTCGATCACTAATGATGTCCTCCGGCAAACCAAAATTAGGAAAAACCTTCTCCAAGTAAACCGCAGCCAAGTCTGAGGCAGTGACAGTCTTCCGAAGAGCCAACAACCGCACATACTTCGTCAACCGATCCACTATGACCCATACTTGCTCCTTTTGCCTCTGTGTTCGTGGCAAACAAGTGGTGAAGTCCATAGAGATACTACACCAACGGCTCTGAGGAATAGGTAAAGGTTGCAAAAGTCCCCCCCGGCTTCTCCCGTGGCACCTTAACCCGCTGATAAAGCTCGCATGATTTACAATACTTGAGGATATCAGCCTTCATATTCCTCCAATAAAAGTTGCGCTTAATCAACTCATACGTCTTCTTCCCCCCAAAATGACCGGCCTCTGGACGATCATGATAGTGGAATAAAACTTGAGTAATTAACGCATCCACCTGTGGCAAATAGACACGGCCATTATAGTAGAGAATCCCATCCACCAATGAGAAAGGGGCTTCCATCTGGGCTCGCAAAGAGGCTACCTCAACATCCTGAGCCTGAGCATGCTCAACCAATTGCCCAAACTCGCTGACCATCTTACTCAAATGATGACAAAATCGTGTTCGTAACGTTGTCACATGACGAACACGAGATAAAGCATCCGCCACCACATTTGATTTTCCCGGACGATGCTCAATAGGAAACTCCCCAAACTCCATGAGTTTGACCATCCAATGAGCTTGCCTAGTGTTCAACTCCTTCTGTGTGAAAAGATACACAAGTGGTTTGTGATCTGTCAACACCACGAACACTGCACCATAAAGATAGTGCCGCCACGTCCGCAAAGCATGAACAATAGAGAGTAACTCTTGCTCATATGTGGAATAGCGTTGCTCTGCGGAATTCAAAGTTCGACTCTCATATGCAATAGTCTGTCCCTTTTGCATGAGAACTCCTCCCAGTGCATAACCACTCGCATCGCATGTCACCTCGTAAGGTTTCGATGGATCAGCAATGCGAAGCACTGGAGCCTTGCTCAACAATCGTTTCAGCGCCACAAAACTCTCCTCTTGTGGCGTCTTCCACTCAAATGGCACATTCTTACGTAACAACCGCGTCAAAGGAATAGCCACCTCTGCAAACTTATGTTGGAAACGTCGGTAGTAACTAGCCATACCAAGAAAACTGCGCAACTTAGCCACTGTAGTCGGTGTAGGCCAGTTTTCCACCACAGCCACCTTCCTTGGATCCGTCTTGACACCCTTAGATGTCACAATATGGCCTAGATATTCCACCTCCGACTTTGCAAATTCACATTTGCTCTTCTTCGCATAAAGTTTGCTGTCTCGAAGTAACAAAAGAACCTTGCGCAAATGCACCCTATGCTCCTCCGTATTCTTGCTAAAAACAAGAATATCGTCCAAGAAAATCTCCACAAACTCATGAAGATAACGCCCAAAGACCTCCGTCATCAACCGAGTAAATGTGGCTGGTGCATTCGTCAAACCAAACGGCATAACTGTAAACTCAAAATGTCCGAAGCTTGTGTTGAATGCCGTCTTGGAGATAATCATCCATTGCAATCTGATGATATCCACTCCTCAGATCAATCTTGGTAAACACTCGTGCTTCACCAAGCTTGTCTAGGATATCATCTACACGTGGCATCGGCATCTTATCCTTCACTGTCTTCTTGTTCAAAGCGCGGTAGTCAATACACATTTGCATTGAACCGTCCTTCTTCTTCACAAGCAAGACTGGAGCACCAAATGGAGACTTACTTGGCTGAATGAATCCAAACTCAAGTAACTCCTTGACTTGTCGTTGAACTTCTTGCTCCTCCGCATAACTTAACCGAAATGGACGCCAGTAAATTGGCCGCGTCCCCGGCTCCAATGTAATCCCATGCTCCACACCTCGTAATGGAGGCAATCCATGAGGAAGTTCAGATGGAAAAACATCAGAAAACTCGTCGAGTACATCCCGTAACTGCGGACATTCAGCCTTGTAGTGTCCAAGTTCGCCGCAATGATGACAACCCTGTCTATAATTCTTCACAAAGCATTTCTGCTTCTTGGACCCCTTTGCATTAGAAGTAGTCACCACCGACTTCAACTTGTGATGCTTGTTCCCATCCTTGTTACCACGGCGATCATCACAACGATTCTCGACACGCTTAATGCTCCACTTTATCTCTGGATCCACCTTCACCAACCATGGCATCCCAAGGATGAGATCCACACGATGGATATCCGCG